TTGGCCGGTCCAAGTCAGGTGAGGCAGCGGGTACCGCGAACTATTTTCAAGATGTATTTTTGCGTTGGGGAAATAATTTATAAACTGTAAAAAACAGTTGCAAGGCCGCCCTGCTTTCCCCCATTTTCTATAGTTTTAATGACATCTTTGTCTTGTTTTCAGCTACAGTTTTTAATCACTTTAAAGACAGGTATTTTTCCCCAGGGGAGTATTCTGGTTTCGTCTCTCTTTGGGCGCCCAATTTTCATCAATGTTAACTACGCCATCCAAAAAAATACCGTCACGACTAGAATCGTCAATATTTAATGTACGCCATCAATCATTACCCTCACCCATGGCGTTGGCTATACTTTCACTCATGAATGAGAAATCCCCAACCAGTCAGGGTATGATCTGGCATACATGGATGGGATGCACTTATTACATGTATGTACTCCGCACGGTGCAAAATTATTTGTGACATTAATGATCAAAATCACCAACACTGGTGCTTGAAGAAATGAATTAACTCCAGCCTAAAGACCTTGGGTTGCGGGGGGGGTCCACATATTCGAAAGCTCCAGATTACAGGGGCTGGGACTGCGCAGTCGCACCCCGAGAATGCTACATTTCAATCTGTCTGATCCAGGCCTAAGGAGTAAGTAACACACTGACTAGCTTGACTTGATTCTCAAGGGTATAAGCTCAATTATTGGTGTCACTGACATAGCAAGGAAGTGAAAACATTGTTTGAAGGCAATTGTCACTTGCTGAGCTACATTATGAGTGCCAGCACGGGTAATGCCCAACCCGGATCTTCAAGGCTAAGTGACCTGCGAACTCTCAGGTGTTACTTGGAATTGTTTTTGAATTTGATTTGGTGAGGCCGAAAACAATTCCAAAGCTTCCAAAACACACACATACGATAAAGCCGCGGGAGGTGATGACGTCCTTAACATCTTGACAGCTGACACTGTGACTCCTGAAAATTGCTGCGCGACGGTGAAAAATCACTGGACTAGGTTTATTAGGTTTCTAAACGGGTTAATCTGATTTCATGGGAACAAATTGCAACAAAATTGGGTCTCACTGTTCCTGGCGACCCTAGTTAAGAAGTGTTGACAACCCAGGGGGTCTTGTTGTTTTCCCGATGCAAAGAAAAAATACCGAGAAAATACAATCCAAATTCGCGGAACTGTTTTTAAAGACTTTAGTTATTAAACATAAAGCGGAACGTTGACCTTGAGAAGACTTACATTAATTTAAAAGTGATCGCGCAAAATCAATCTGGCATTTTGAAAAGTATATACACGACTCAGTTTAAACGGAGACTAAACATTTCGACAAAACGATGAAACTCACTTCAACTTATGAACCTTATACAGTTTGGATGGTAAGCTCAACTTATTAACCTACTTAGGCCTGCCTACCTACTTGCCAATTACACTTCGGTCTGCTTCACCTTTTGACTTATTCAAACAAATACTCAAAACGTATCCATTTGATCAGTATTTCAATGCTTGATGTATCGATTGGAGTGTTTTTCTGTGCAAGCTTTTGGGTTTTATTGGTTTTAAATCAATGCTGTAGATGGAATGTGCAGTGGTTTGTAATTACATGTGATGAATTTTAATATTTATATATAATGTTTCATTGTAAAAAGGGTGGAATTGTAGTTTCAATTTTTTTATAAGTACTTGATTTTTATTAAGCTTGTTGTAATTATGTAAACCGCTTTGAGATGTTTTATATGAAAGGCGGTATATAAGTATTTCTTCGTCTTCTTCTTATTATTATTACCTACCGATGTATCACTAAAGAGTGTATCACTCCAAGAGTGAAAACCACTCTAACAAGAGTGAATACCACTCTAAAGGAGCGGAAAGTACTCATAAAGGATAATTCTTTTTTCGAATCGTCTCTTATACGGCTCCTTGGAAGAGTGGAATTTTGATTCGTTGGAGTGGTTTTCACTATTTATGAAGGGTTATCACCCATATAGTTTTCACTAGTTGAGAGATTTTTGTAAGATACTCACTTTTTTTGAGAACTGATTTTTTTTCCTTTTTCTTTCACGTTTGACAATTCAAACGAAGCTGGTCACAATTTGTAAAAATTGCAGGATTAAGACTTGGACGACAGTGAAGAAGAGGGTTGGAAAATAAGAAATGAAGGGGAAAATTGGTTTCTGTGCACAACAGTGCATGGGTATACATTTCCAACTGAAAACTTAAACAATTATTGTACATGAATTAGTTACTCAGCTATCAACTAAGAAAGCTGTTAAATTTGGTCAAAGGGGATTTGTATTTTACGTCCAGTGTGCGGTCAAAAAAGTCTGCCGCGCCAAGTCAACACCCTTCGTATAGTTCCAGGGTAAAAGTAATGCAGTATGTTACACAAACCCATCTGGGTAGTGAAAAATGACTTTCAATGTTACACAGGACCTGCTACTTATAATGTTGCCCTTAAGTAAAGTATGCTTATTTTACACTTCCTTATACTTAAACAGAAAAGCTGGCAGAAATATAGAATATGAGATTTCGTTACCGGTACTTTTCATTTGTCTTCTAATATCACCCATGATAAAATTTCGTTAATCAAGGCTATCACTTGACTCTTGTGTAAAAAAGAAATGCATACGCAGAAAACTGTCGTGAAGTAATGCTTTCGATTTTTAAAGTTCTGAAACTTACCGATTTGGGCTCGATGGGAAGGGACTTCCACGTGAGAATTCCTCCCCGGAAATGAAAGGCTGATACTTGATACAACGCTACCAAGAACGCAAGGCTACATGCAAGAGCCGGGATGGAAAACCCCATGTTTCCCTCCTTGTCAGCCAAAGATTTTGCAATAAGTGTCAGATTCAGATAGATTGGATAAGATTTTCGAGATACAGGCACTTCTTACAAAAGTTAGGTGGGAAAGGCGCAAGTAACGTTTCTAGAGAACTGAGACAGAATATTCCAGTTCGCACTTTTTATACCTTTTACCACTTTTTTCGTCATAGAGACAGAAATGATGCCACAAAAGGAACTACAAGTCTGTCTGAATCAAGACTATACCATTCGGTCACAGCTGTGGAACAAAGTAGAAATCGGAACGGAGAGCTGTTGCTCTGCGCGTGCATTAACGACACTTCTGCTGTGAAACACCCCCTCCTTTCGAATAGGAGTGGCCTGGACGCTTCAGCCAATAGGTGAGCCAATAAAGTTTCCGAGTTCACGGACGAGTCATACTGAGAGACCCCGTGGTAACCTCAGCTCTGTGAAATTAAGGTAAGTGTCCTTGCCTGCCCTATTGGTCACACGTCAAAAAAATTAGACCATAATTCGTTGAGTAAGGACAAGCACGTGGATATTTTGTGTGACGTGACAAGTGTTGAAAGTGAAGGACGTGACACCTCGAGCCTGTTTGTTTCACAAGCATCTGTATCCTTACGCTCGTTTGTACCATCCAGTAGATGAGTTTTGGTGTCTGTAAACCAACGACGGGTCACTGGTCGTGGTCCAGATCCATGAGAAACAAACACTGCCTTGCACCGAGTTAAACGCTGAGGGCGGCAGGCCCCATGAGAAAGCTGTTTGATGTGAGATTTTTTAAAACCAGGCTTATCCACATAAGCACCCGAACTGAAACTACCACGACTAAGGAACTACTCTATTCGTAATATATTGATTTGAAAGACTGCTTGGGAGAAATGATGTGTTTTTGGACACGGTATTGAAAATGATGTAGTGTCCCTTCCCCACCCCCTTATTAGAAAATTGTGTCGAAATTCCGGGAATCATTAGGGTCAAGAAAAGAGCCCATGGAGTCAATGCTAAATGGCCGAACTTATATTTGTATTTACAGATATATATTTACGTGGGAAAAGTATCTTTAATACTCTTTTTTCTATTTGTCAATTTTCACCCAATGAATACCAGCCTTTCAACGCATGTCACGTGAAACTTTCTCTTCTATGTCTTTACGTTCACGTCAACATTTGTCAACCAAGACAAGATATTCACACCCTGAAGAATGGCTTAACATCAATGGTAACACTTGTCACCTGTACAGCCCTTTTATTAGTCACTTGCTCACTGCATATTTGAGGAAAGCTGGTAGGTTTTAAGGTATACTCTCTCGCCATACGGTTACCCTCCCATCCATAAAAATCTGCCGTATCTAAACGACAGGGCTCACTATCTGTCTCCTTGAACAGCGTACACTAAAGAAGGGCCGGATACTTTCTAATTCATGGAGGTGCTGATGTCTACGTATATTTTACATTTCGTATTTAAGAATTATTTTTTTCCATTCTGGTATTAAAATATAAATGATTCAAATGTTAACAACATAAATCGATATATCTTTAACAGACTTCCAGACGTCCTTTCTTCTCATTTAATTTGAATATTTCAGAATATAAAACTTATACATATCATAGAATGAGCAAAGTTATGCATCGCCAGCTTAATGGTGGAGGATAACAAGTGTATATTTTACTCATGCAAATGTTCTAATCCAAGTGAAGGTGGTTAAATCATGGTATTTTTCTTGAACATTTTGTACAATGAAAAAACCCTTCAATTTTAATCATTAGAAAATCAGCCCCAGCGCTCACGTAAATATGGATAGTCTGTGGTTTCAGACTCAACTTTCCAAAAAACCCTTCCCCAAACTTTGGCGTTATAAAAGGAATTAAAATTTCTTATATTTTTGTAAACGTTTCTACCATCTCTCCAAATTAAATTAGTGGAATTTACCACATCAAGTCAGTCAGACGCTATCGGTAGTCTTTGTTCCAGCCACATCCTGCTTCATACATTGGACACCGATTAGAATTAGTAGTAAGAATATGACACCGCCGAGCAATGCGATTTCAACAACGTCCGCGTTGACGCCCATGAATGAATTTCCACCTGGGGTGGCTGAAAGAGAAGTAACCAAACAAAAATAATGAGAATAAGGCTTCAAGTATGCTATAAAATAATAAACACTATGGTTTTAAAATATGTTCATTAAAAACAATTATGGATCAATGGAACAACAAATGAAATTTTCCAGAGAAGTGACAGAATTGACTTTGTGGAAACTTTGGATAAACCGTCTAATTAGTGAACCTGATGTTGCAATAAGAGCCAATTAAAAGTACCTACCAGAATCATGATCCGGGTTTAACCGTCTGGTTGCTATGTGTTCTGTTTGCTGTGGCGTCTGGTCGGCGACGTCACGTCGAGACCTGCGCACTAAACTGTTGTCAATGCCGTCATCGATGACGTCAATTTGTTCATCGCAGTTTACCTCACATTGAGAATCGCCTGCTGGGGAACACTTGCTCATTTTGCAGTGCACATAAACCTGCATTGAGAATGACCAATAATTTGAAAATTGGAATTGAAAGGTAAGTTCAATTGTTATTTAAATGTCGGATCAAATAATAATGTCAGAGATTTGAATAAACCTTCCACTGAAATTCGAAAGTAAACTTTCTGAACGGAAAAGACCAGCTTACCGGGCCGTGAATATGTTCACCAAGGAAAGCAAAGGAATGAACCGAGAATCGCTTTCTGTCGCTTGAAGGTGACGGAAGGAATTGCACGGTGTCGTCTTTGGCACATCTACATAATTATAAACAAAAGGGGGGCATAACACTTTCTGTACGATATTCATCGTTGAAGTGTGAATATAAAGATCACTGTGACATATCTGCGCATTGGAAAGGCCGGTAAATCCTGCCTTTATCCCGTGTTGCCCCTGTCTCCTGCTTTATCTTTTCCACAGCCAGTCCAATTCATTCTTATTTATCTTGTTATTATTTTCTAAAAGCATTGAAATCTGAAATGAAAAGGACATCGTAGTTCTTACCCATTCTTGATAAAGGCATAACGTTTGACGTCAAACGGGTTGGTTGTGGGCGTAGCCCAACAGCTATCAATCATGACGTCACCTTCACACTGTTCTTCTGGATCGCAGTTTATGCGGGCCTCAAAATATACCGGCTGGTCCAGCTGAACGATTTGGGGGTAGCTGTATCGACTTGTGGGCGTGGTGAAGTAGCTATCTTCGAACATGGTGAACGAGAAGTCAAAGTTCCCGAAGCCTTCTTCGTAATAAACGATCGTGGTGACGTTGGGATCGAAGGCTAGGTAGCCGACAGCGTCTCGAAGGAGGCGGCACGACATGTGTATCTCGATGAAATGATCTCGCGTGATCTCGCTTTCTGGTGTGTACGGTTGAGGCGGGATGAAGACCGAGTTCTCGAAGGACACGAGACCAGCCTCACTGGCTTCCTATTGGCAATATAAACACTGCATGAAAATTTGAAAATCCCTTGCACTGTAAAGAAGTCGGTGAGCTTGACTGCCATTTAATCATTTAAAATTTCTTGTCATGAATTGCACGACTATTTGATACGTTTGGAAGGAACGTGATATTTCATTTTAACTATCAAATGATCAATGAGCACTGACGTTTCACTGTTTATAAATTAGAAAAAAATCCATCAGGTATTATGGGAAAGTCCATGATTTAAAATGGGACTAGTGTTGTTTTTCTCATCCTTAAACTCACCTGCATCGATGTTTGGCACATATTATATGAGGTTCCAATGACGTAATGAGTGACGTTATATTCTCTGCCGGTGCATGTGGGGTCGTTGAGATACATGGTGGAGGGATCAATATTCCCAACCAGCGCCTTAGAGACAAACACCTGCATGAAGTTACTTCGGCAGTCTGCCGAGCTGGGATGCTGACGAACTACTGCGGTCTCCTCGATCTCGCCGGGGAGTTTGCGACCTTTGTAAATGGAACAGTCAACTTTTAGATACTTTTGCGAGAACAAAATTCACTATTGTCAATTGTTGCAAAATGAAGTACCTTACCTGTAGAAACGGATAAAAACCTATTTTACTGTTCAGCTGATGTAACTACATAACCTTTTCCGACTTATTCGATTACTGCATTATTTAAATTGAAGGAATTATAGTACGCATTTTTAGTCACGCAATGATGACTAAGGTAATTTGTGAGAAGGCAAGCGAAAGGCAAGAGAAAGTATTTCACTTAAAATGGGCCTCGACGTAATACGAAACTGACTGAAAACTGACCAATTTTGCAGACAATTATCAATATTTGGAATCAACAAAATGTCTCACCGATCCAAGTGAAGCTCCATTCATCAACAGAGGACGCTGACCCACACCTCTCAGTTGGTTTCACTGCCTGTGCCTCAACGCGCAACCGATAGGTGCTTCCGGACTGAAGCACAACATCCAACGGAAGGGAGAATGTCAGACTGTTTCCCTCGAAGGTGACGTCAGTTTCAGATGAAGTGTCTATAGTGAAAATGGCCTCGTCCTCGGCGTCCAGGATGGAAATATAGGCTGGTTTGTCCGGTCTTGATACCTTTTTTATATATGACACAGGAAACACAACGCAAGCTTTACTCTTTTGTAAAAGAAGATGCAATGGAATTTTGAACAAACCACTTTAAACCGTTAATAGAACTTTTAACAACTTAGAACGAACCGTATGGATTTCTGTTGATTTCATTTAATGAAGAAATGGGTATAACCCACCTGCCTGTTGAACTGCACTGCGAATTCCCTTTCGGCAGTTTCCGACCCCTCGGCGGGCATGGACAGTGACTTCATCACATACAAAGGCTCATAGACTTCAGGATCTGAAATTTCCAGAATAACAAGGTTTTTGATGGATTTGTAATCATTGTTGATTATATAGTACACATACTGTGGAAAATATTAAATGAAATCAATGTCACCATGGGCTTTTTGTTGCACCTTGAGATTCTTGGAGATTATGGCATGAAAATCATTATATAGAAATGGCAGTGATAAAAACTTGTAAGAAATAACGTAAAAATGATCAAAACATATTTAATCCATTTGATATTGATTTGTTTAGTTTTAAGAATCACTGAATAAAAGGAGAGGTGAATTTTCCTACAGAATGGATAACGTACGCCTTTTTCAGTAACTGCGGTTGGTTTTAATATTCCAATTCTTCATTCCAATGTTTCATTAATTCACGAAAACAAGTCAAATCATCCTACCGACAACATTGATGTAAATACAAGCCATGTCACTGTAGAAACGTCCCTCCTCTTCCGCTTTATAGCATATCACGTGACGTCCAATCTGACCAATTGAAGGCGTCCAGGACAACATGACGTAAAAGTCTGTCTCGGATCCCTCCACTCTGGTAACGGGGGAGACGGTAATGCCTACGGGTTTTATTGTATCGATGCTGACAATCCTGCATGAGGTAAGAAAATTCGAGACGCTTCATGAAAAATTATATCCCGTAGGTTTTTCTTAACTTGTCAGTGATAGAAGGGCTGTAAATCTTCATAAATGTTTCGATTTGTTGCCAGTTTTCTTGCATTTCAGACTCTTTGTTACTCGTCTTTCAGTTTATTGACATAATTATGACTCCCGGGATAGGGCAAGGTTGAATTTTTTTTAAGTTGCTTTTTCTTTTGCACGAATTAATTTGTTCGTTCCCATGAGCTAATGATTCGTGTGCACAAATAAATGCAGAAATTCGTGGGAGGGAACGAATTAGTAATTCGTGGGAACCACAAAGCATAATAGCAATATAACACAATAGCATCATAAAAAATCCCCGGCCTTTCCCGGGCATCATATTGACATCCAGACTTTTTGCAATTTTGTAAAGGTAAAAAAGAGATTGTCAGAAATTTCTGACTGAGAAATTAATGCTGTGAAATGATTCCAACAGTAAAACAAACATAAGATATAATGTTTAGAACTATATAGACAGGCAACATTCATTTTGTGGAAAAGTGCAGTTGATTGTATGTTATCATAATTCAAATTTACATTGAATACGGAACTGGGAATAGACATGGAACATTGATGTGATATTGAAGCCTTTACCGTAGGTTTACCTCACGCCAACGATGTCCATTGAAACTTGAGTAAGTTTCGGAAACATCTCTCCAAAGATATGGACCCTTTTTGACTCACCGAAAGTTAGGCGAGGAGCTGCGAGCGGTGATTGGTCTCTGCATAAGGCGGCCCGCAGGGATCGTCACGCAGGCCCCGTGCACATCCAGCATAACCGGCTTACGGCAAGTGCCGCTACGAGGCTCCACCGACACCAAGAACTGCAGGGGGATCTTACTGAGGGGCGTGGTCAAGTCAGAAGGGGCGAAGTCTTCGATCATGACCGACATAGCGTACCTGCCCTTGGGGTTCTTGGGGTGGAAGATCAACTTACACGTGTCCTGGAGATACAAATTTGTACAATAATCCAATTAATCCTATCCAGTGCAATTCATTTCCTACAATGATAAAAGATTGAATTGGACTTGTTGATTTGCACGATGGACACGAACAAATAGTAGAAGCTTTGATATGACTCCATGAAATTAATATCCATTTTGGGTCGTGTGGGTCTGGTTCTCTCAAACTTACACAACTTAAAGAAGATTTTACATGGTAGCCTATTACCGCAAACAATCCATACTTTAATAATAAGATGGAAAATGGCTATAACAGTGCCCAGACAGCAGAAATATCAAACGTTCACACCAATATGCCGGTAATTTCCCCAAGCGATTTTACATCAAAAACTGTCGTTTTTGCTCATCTGACAAAGTTTCATTTCCATTCCGAGCAACCCACCAACCTGCTCCAGCTCTGCTCCCGGTTTCCTTCTCCTGGCGTCCACATACAAGGGCCCACATGCGTCGCCATCTTGGTTATTGCATTCATTTTTGTCTGGGTCAGTCCAGCGACATTTGACAACGTCAGCGTCGTTATCCCAAGCTGTGAAAAATAATGCAGGCTATTAGAAACACTGACGATTCATGAAACAACACCCGACAGAACTGTGGTATCCCCCTTAAGGGTGTAGAAACAAAGCGCATTTTCACATAACTCCACAAAAGATGATTCCAGACGATCTGGTGTAGGTTTTATTTTTGGAGGGGACTTTTGGTTTCTGAAGGAGATTGATTTTTCTAACATATATAAAAATGTTGAAATTATTGAGAAAATGGATCCGAAACTAAAAAGAGACTGGACATTTTGTTAATTAGGACGATAAGCTTTCCTGTTCACACAGACTGCACTGAAAAAAATACACAGACACGAACGCGAACTTTGGGTTGTTAACAATAGGCATAATAATACACTCCAGACTATTTATGTGTAATAACTCAAGTTTTCTTCGAGAAAGGAAATGGCGAAATTCACCTGGGATATACAAGGCACTCCGGCACCCTTTGTTGATCTTAAACACCGGGATAGAAGCAGCCATCGGTGGGTTATTGACGGCGCCGTTGTCGGGTCGCGGAGCGATATCAACGGTTGAGGCTAGATTCCAGCCCCGCCCTTGGCTGACCTTTTGCCCGTTGTTCTTGACTTCTGTCAGCCAGCAACATTCCTCGTAACTAATGACCGAAAACAGACCAGAAACTAACGTCTTAAAATGCCTTACATTTTCTCCAATGTGCAGGAAAAGGTGAGCATGTGATCGGAATAAAATTACATTGTTTGAACTGTCTCAACCCCCCTGAAAAACAAAACGAAAAAACAGAACCACAACATGTAAAATGTTACCTTGGACATCATTGTTATAATCATATGAATAATTTTCAGTTTCCCGCACTCTTTATGTAACCAGTATTCAAAACCGCTTTCATTTTAGATAACTCGGTGAATCGACTCACTTGAACTCGACGCTGGTCTGTCCTGGCCTCATGGTATGGGTGAAGGTGTAACTGCCTATGCTCCAGTTGTCCACTTCGTCGTACGCTGTACAGACGTACCTCGCCCAAGACACTTTCTCATCGTCAACCCGGAACGACCCTTCAGTGCTCAGCACTTCTCTCGTCTGGATCGCCGTTTCTGTGCACGGCTCGTGCAGATAGCCGTTGGTATAGCTGTGCTTGAAGTTGAGTTGGACTGTCACATCTACCTGTGAGAAGGTAGGAGTGACTGCATTTTAAATTTCGTTCCATGATCGTTTCATAGCGCAAAACCCTCCCAAGCTCAGCAATTTTTAGTAGTGATGCTCTTATTCGCATCAGCCTCATTTACAAAGTTTGTCCGTGGAGATAAATTAGCCAAATGCTCCCCAAAACTTACATTCTGAGGATGCAGTGGGTCAGCTCTCCACGTAACCGTTCCTCCTTCATAGTGGCCCTGTGAAGCCCAACTCGCGCCGATCAAGCCGATGATCAAAAGTTGTAGGCACTTCATGCTTGCCATTTCACCGAGTAATTGGCTACCAGTCGCAATATAGCCTGCACTAACACATTCACACCACGCTGCGGATGTGTATGGTGTCGGAATGACCAATATTATCGATCACTTCCTATTTATGCTTTTCTGAAAAACTACTTGAAGGAAGAATAATTTCATGATGGGAAGTCGGTATTCCGGTCGCGGGGGCATGCGTCCTTCATGCCTGTCCACAGGGTACACATTACACCCAATGTCATCTCAATGACTGAAACGCAGTCATGATGACACCGTAAGTGTTCATGAAAATGACGAACATTACTGAGAACACCTACTGTGTCTCTACTGTCGGAACACGTTTGTAGGAGTGTGATGATGTCAGTGAAAGTTATACATACAGCCAAGGCCAACATGTAGTTTCATGTCTGTCTGAAATCCGATTCAAGACTGTTCGTCACAAGTGAATTGGTCAGACGTTTGGCTAGGCCCATATTGCGCAATTTGATTATGTTTGAGTGATCACTTAACTTACAAGGATTGAAACATCGTAAAGGCTGAGTTCAAAATTCGCAGCTCATTAAACCACTCTGACTTGTGACGTCACCCGTTTCAGTAAAGTGTCGAATCAAGGAATCTCTACTTTTTCGTCATTTCTCCTTAACTTCTTTTCTCAAGCAGCAAACCCTTTGAATGCTCAAATTGTAATTTGACAGACAACCCTTTTGTCCGCACGGTGGTGGCCCGAGCAGTTCCAAAGCTGGATCGGCCACTTCTACCAGGGCCAGTTCGAGAGATGATCAGTTATTGGCGGCAGTTGTCGGTTTTCCCAGTATAATGCACAAATTATAACCTTAATCATGGGTGTAAATTCTGGGGGTGGGGTTTATCCCCCACTTTTTGACCGGGGGTCAAAAGGGGATATATAAAAATGCAGGCTGACTGTAAAGAATTCTGCGGACTTCCCAACCAAAATGTATTCAACACACTCAAAAAGACAGAATAGTTTATAAAACGCTACAAATACGTCGTTTTGATGTGTGGTTCTGCAGGAGTGTATATCTGTAGCATGAACATCGCTCCCAGTGTCATATGATGTCAGTGCACCCCCCTCCCCGCTTTGAAAACCTCCATGGCCGGGTAAGTCATCCCCTCCCGCAATTCCCATGCCCCATCCCCTCATTTCTTGGCACAAAGTTTCGTCACTGACCGTAATACTCGGGTAACATCGACCAGTGATGGACAGGTTGTCGCCCCTCGAACTTTTGCATAATAGTTGTTTAGACTTCTGCGCTGATAAAACTTTCTAGCTTGAACTTTCTAAAAACTGTAACCAGGAGGATATTGACTGAAGCGTGCTGTCTTTGGGACCACAATGTTCATTTCAGTAGACATCATCTTGGTACGATAACCAATGGAATTTACCACAATTAGGCCTAATGACAATGTGATGTTTTTCCTTTTTCATTAGCATTTTTTAACCAGAGAAGAGTCGAGAGGTGGTCGTATTGACAAAATGAACTGTGAAAATCGAGATTTCTGCGGGGGATGAGGTGTTGAGAGAGGACATTCCTCCCGGAACCTCACGGGAAGCGGTGACTGTGAAAGCGTCTCGATTAAGCTGCCAGACGCGAGACGAGACGACTGGAGAGAGACTGTGGGCTGGCGCTGCGGCTGTCGTGCGGTGACAAACGGCGGCATGGTCGGAGTCGCGGTTTCTGGTGCGTGCATGGCTCGTGTGATTATACGTGTGATCAGGGAAAAAGCTTTTAAATCGTGCGTGCTGTTCTCTTGTTTGCTTGTGCAAAAGAATGGTACAATAGCCTACTTTCTTTTTGGCCATACTATTAATAGTGTATTGGACTCTTTTCCTACCAGTTGATAAATATTCAGAGCAAATTATATTTACTAGTTGGTAGAGAACATTCTATACTCCGTTTAGTGCAGACATTTGCGCTTTGAAACACAAAGAAAATAAAAAACCATTAATAAGTTTGACGTTCTTAAAGCCGACACCCTATAGTCGTGAGTCACACAATGAATTTCAACAATGGTTAATCTACCTCTTTTGCTCTATAGTCCACACAAAGCATACACAACAAACTCCTATCCAATCAAAATGCCGGGGAAAGGGAGGCACATCAAAGATGAGCATTTCCGATTCTGATCCGAATCTATCCAAATACGACCTCGGATCGGATTGAACTTGGCTCAGTTGGATTGGGATCGGATTGGGAGTGATACTGTAAACGTTGGACTGGATCTCATCCGATTGGACGGATCATCACGCCCGTAATCTGACAAAATCCAACTCATCTTCCATTGCGAGTAAAGCAGCGGTGAGGTTTGTGTTGACCCTTTTTCCCGTTTTCTGTCCTCCACACACGGTGACCGCTTGACAGTTGACACGATACCTTGTATTTTTATCATCCTTTATAGCCATGCAAGAGGCCGGTGCTTGGAAAAAAAATGAGAGGAAAGGAGCACTTACGCTGATCATTTTAGGAATGGATTAAACCATCTAAAACTTGTATGTCGGTCGGAGGAGGGGACTGAGATGATTAACTAGGATACTTAAGCAAGAAGACAGCGTGGGAGCATTTGCCAACCATGTTGAAATTGTGAATTCTGCACTCAGCCTATGTTGGACCGCTACGGAAAAAGCTTTGAAACTTGCGCTCGGGGGAGGACGCGCATACAGTAAACAAACAAAAATGGCTCCTAAAATATAAGTAAAGTGACAACTGTTTGAATGATATCCATTGAAAAAGAAACTTACGAATACCAGAAAAGAGGGTGATTACTTTCAGGGTGCTGCAAAGTGATGTCATTTCATGGAGTTTTCACTCCATGGAGTTCATAATGAGTGTGTCCAACGGTCCCCAGGAAACTCCGAGTTATACTTCTGTACTTACGTAATGCAAAATATTGGCAAGAAAAATTAAGCAGCCTTGTCCGAATTGGGGCACGTATTATACATGCATGTCCTTGGGAACGGTACCATTGTACGACAATATTTGCAGTACGCCACACAGAAAAATCAAAAGGGTTTTACATGTTGTGTGGTAAAGTTCTCCCAATAGCAGCAAAGAACCAAGGACAATGGTCCTTTGGCAACTACAGGAAAAGCTTTGTACACAGGAAATTCAAACACGTTTTGTCCCTAAACTGGGGCAGACCTGAGGTTTGTCCCCCTCATAAAATGGAAGTACGGTTTGGCAGTGGTACTCTCTTCGCTTTCCACCTCCGCGTTTTGGGGTTTGCATCCAGGCCGAAAGGTGGATTGGATTTTCAGTCCCTATTTGATTTCGTGGGTTTTCGTGCTCGGGGTTTCCTCCTACCTATAAAATCTAATATTACTTCACCGAGTTCTCGACCAGTTGATCTACAGAGGAAAGAGTTGGAATAGGAATTTACCCATCAGTGGTTTAATAACAATAAAGAACATCCTATCATGCCGTCGTCCTTTTGCGTAGTGGCATTCAGCCGTCGCGTCATGCCGTCGCCCCTTTGCGTCGTGCGTTAGCGTCGTGCTCTCGCCCATCGCCTCATTACTGGTGGAAACAGGGGGCGCCCTTAGAGACGGAGTAAAGTTCAATACCAATAGATACCGTTTTTCATGATCAAATCTTGTAGACCCTATGAGTGCATCCCATTTAATTGTTGGAAGTAATAAGAGAACAAGACATGCCATAATAAGGAGGGCTCACAAAAAATATTTCTATAAATCGCGAATTTGGAACGCACGTAGTTTTACTCCTATTTCAGGGGTATCTGCAGAGAAAGGCGTGGCAAAAAAAATTCACGTGGCTAACCCCCAGAACATTGAACGAAAAGTGATTTTCTGGCCATAATCTTTAATTTCCAGTGAAAAGGGGAAGCCAACCTCTTCCCATGAATCAATAGGCGGCGCTATTTCGGTCTGATTTTGCACCGTATTCTATGGGCGCGTATTTGGCGTAGTGCAACGGTATGCACGCACCATTATTTTTCCAGGACTTGTGACATACGCCCTCTATAGGCCTAATAGTATTCTTCTGACGTTTCTAGAAACAGTAAGGCACGACAGCACGATAAGACGGACGACTACATGACGCGACACCACGACGGGACGGCCTAACGCACACTATATAAAAGCCATACCATGACAGGCGACGCGGCGGCACGACGCGACAATGGCAAGACGGCACGTCCCGACGGCACGATACGATGGCAAGCCAAGCTGGCAAAACGCGACGGCATCATATGGAATTCCATATCTGCCGTCGTGCGTCGCCCGTCATGCGTCGCCCGTCGTCCATGGTTTTTTGTTGTTGTCACGATTGCGCAGTGGTATTTTTAACTTTGACCCTTGATCGCGTTTCACATGTACATGTCCTTGTTTGATCGATCCACCATGCCTGACTCTCATTTTAGCAATAGAGCTAGAAGATGTACATGTATTCGTTTTTGCAGAAGAAATAATATCCTGACATCGGTTAAGTAACGTGTATATGAAATAATACTATTTTGGTTACATAAATAAATTAACAAAATAGACTTTTGTTGGGGTAGATTGTTTTTCTCGATAACTTAGTTACTCTAGACGTAACTTTACTCGTTAACAGCCTGACTTTAGGTCTATAGCCTATGTGATATTTCTGTCTGTCCCGCACGATATCCCACAGAACGGAATGTAAATTATAAATTATTTACAATGTTTGATTCCTTAATAGTTTTCATAAGAGACGAA